GGCCCAGGGGCTGAGCTATGGAGAGCTGAGTGCCCGGCACTTCATCTACGTCATCTCAGTTTGTCCTGCGATGTCGGAATTACCCCGATTTTACAATGGAAAAAAAAAACTGGGGATCTGAGGGGTAACCTGAGTTGCCTGAGGACACCTCTAGTTGGGGGTGGAAAAGCCTAGAAGTGGAGCCAGGTGTGAACTAAACTCCACTCTGCTATGCAACAGCGTATGAGGAGCAGATGGAGTGAGGGCAGAGAAGGGAGAGACGGGGGGTTGGGGGGGGGGGCAGGGAGACAGGGGGAGAGCGCACATCTCTTTTCACTGACATTTTCACTAAGAAGGAGGGTGGTATGTCCAAGAGCTCAGAGAGGACACAGGCAACTGAGGGCCAGTTCAGGGAAAAGGTCCCGGACGCGCCTGCAGGACGAGCAGGCCTGTCAATGACTTCCCACGCGATCTCCTCCCATCTCAAAGCTTCCAGAACTTCTCCACGTGGCGCGCGCTGCCCCTCCTCCCACCTCCCCTTTTATAGTCAGACTACAATCCCGGATCCAAAAATAAACGGGGCTGCTGAGGGGCCAGGAAAAGCAGCGCGTCACAGCCTTTCTGCTTTCACTGCTGAGTTATGGGGCGTTCCGTGGACGAATGTCTCATCGCATTTTTACCAAGCCCCCTGCAAGTCCATAATTCGAGGGGAAGCCCAAATTACTCTGGCCTCTTGACCCAGCACGTTTTTGTAATTACTTGGCACTCCAACCGTATGCTACTTAAATTAGGGACCAGTCACCCAGTTATTTTTAGCCCACGGCAACACACACACACACACACACACACACACACACACACACACACTCACACACACGCTGCTGTACCTAGCTCGTTAGCTGTACTCCTTTGGAAAAGGAGCCCAAACTACCTGTTTTACTGGCACCATCATTCCTGTTCAACCAACAGTAATGATATTAAGCTGCATGGGTGAGTCGTTAACCATGAGGAACCACTTAGACACTTTGCACATTTTAGTTCCCTGTATTCCTAACTAACGCTATGAGATAGCTACTGTGCCCAGCAAGGGCGGGAGGCGGGAGTGGGGGGGGGGGGCGGGGCGAGAGGGGAGGAGATCAAGATTAGAACTCAAACCAGATCCCAAGTCCAGCCTGAATTCCCCCACTCCTTGCTCCAGGGCTCATGTTAGCCATGTTCGGGTGTTAAACAGAGGTTCCGAATGACAACAGCGCGTTTGTGAATCTAGAAACGTCCCCGAGAGGCCAGAGGAAATCGTGTACCCCCTCCCCACTCAACAAAGCTGAGAGGGAAAGAATATACTCCGGGTTTCTGGTCTCTGAGCGCAGCCACTCTGGATCTTGTGATCCCGCTCACCGCCCACGGGTTTACTTCAGAATCCTTGTTGACTATGGACGGACGTTAGGGAGGGAAGGTTTACAGTGTGAGAGTCTAACCCCCTATGTTACCCCAATCTTCTCTAGGTAACGATCTCCTGAAGTAACTCTCTCTCCTCCCCCTGCTCCCCAATAAATGCCTCTGAGTCAGTCTTTGTTTTGTGCGAGCGCAGAGCAAGTACAGGCATGGACCCGACATAGCTGAGCAGAACGGGGAGCTGGGGACCCCCAGTTTCCGCCCGGAGCCCTCCACTCAGAGGGAGGGCTGCTTCTCCATGGCCCTGGCCGCCTGAGAGTCACAGCAGAAGTTACAAGTTTGGAAAACTGCCCCCAAATGGTCACGTGACACTGCAGTATTGAGTAACAATGTTGTCCATACTCTACTATCAAATATCCCAGCCTTATTGATTTTAAAACATTAGGTTTAAACATAAAACATGTTTAACTACAGTAACATATTGTCTGTTCTATACATGTTTTCAACAAAAGAAAAAAAAAGAGAAGGAAAATAGTACTAATTGTTCAAAATCTGGTGACAGGTATATGGGTGCTCACTCCACTCTTTCCTACTTTTCTCCATATTTGAAATTTTGTGTAGTAAGAATTTTAAAGGCGTAGACTGTTTTTAAGGAGGAGGTGGCGATGCCTCTTTAGGTAAATGACAAATTATTTCCCTAAACCCAACATCAGGAGCCTGACAAACACCACAGCAATGATGGTAGCTCTCATCCTGGGAGGCCCAGGACGGTCTAGCCTTCTGATTCGGTGTGGTTAGAAATCACATTCAACATCACGTGTGGGTAACACAAATTATACTTCGTTCAAAGATTGTGCAAATCACTACATATCTCTTCCTTTCTCCGGGCTGGGTAGAAGCCGTGTTTTCTTCGGAAGCCGAGACTAAACCATGGATTCAGACGCAGGTCACGGCGGGGAGGGGATTGTAAATTAGAACAGTAACTTAATCTGCGCCTCTGATCACCCTCTTCCCGACCTGACACAGCATGACTAAAACGGTCCCCGAGCAGCCGCTCCACTTGTCAGGCAGCTCCAAAAATGGAGACCGTGGCTCTGGAGCGGGGGACATGAAACTTGGACCGGGAGGGTAGCAACCAGTGTTTACAAACATAACACCAGGGCAGCAGGTGGGCCGGCCATAAATTACCCGAGACTGTACTGAAATCTCTGAAAATGCATGAAGGAGGCCTTAGAAATTTCTACCCTAGAAGATTCTCACTACCCATCACCATGGCTTCCCTACAAAACTCACTCGTTCCCAAATGGTCCCACGACCACTCTTGCTAAAATAAAATCTTGCATCGCCAAGGGCTGGGGTTAGTACAATAAGCCTCAGCAGAGCAGCCAGGCCAGGATGGTCTGCTTGACCCACACCAGAGCCTGGGAGAAGGTGCTGGCCATGCCTTCTGAGGGGATGCCCACCCCATTCCTCACTCGATGGTGCTCTGGCATTAACCTTTGGTTGGCCCAGATCAAAGGGTAGCGAGGGCATCCTGGTATCGCTCTCCCCCTTCTTTCCCATCTTGGTCCAAATTTTAGGCCGTTCCCCACAAAGAGACCAAAATGATAATGACAATAATAATAAATATAGTAGATTATAGACCTTTTTGCTCCTGAACTATGGATTTTCAAGCATATTCCCAAATATTCGAAGAAAAAGCCCCCCAAAAGCTACAAATCATCCAACCTCTACCACCAGCGCGCCTTCCAGGTCCACCGCCGCTGAGGCTCACCAACCCGAAAATGACGAGCCCGCAGCGCGACCGCCCAGGCGCCCAGTGTGAGGTCAGCAGCATGTC